ACTATGGTCTTTTATGTAAGCTTTGAATCACTTGTTTACTAATTGTGCAAAAGGCCCCTGGAAATCCACATTGCTCACAGTGATTTGAAATAATTACAGGGTACACAATCACTCTACAATTCTATTATTTCTTCCTCCCCACAGGACTACTCATTGTGGCACCATGTGCAAGAGAGTCAGAAACAACCTGTTTGCCTGATCTGGCCATGACTCTTTGCTGCTCCTTAGTGGAAGAGGGTATAGTTATCGTATGCAGGCTCAATGATATAGATTAATGCAACACCAAGGGGAGGAAATAGAATCTAGGCAACGGCAGAGTAGAAGCAATGAAGTAGTAGTAGTGGAAATGTTTTGTATTGAAATGCTAATGCCCTGGACTCCTATGACATATTCTATGTAGCGTGATATGGCTGCAGTCACATGAAATATTCTGTATAGGCATGCTTTACAATAAGTATTCGGTTTTTGTAGGGGTATAACTCAATAGTTATATAACTCTGCAGCTGAATTCTGCTGAATCATGTGATGATGCATAGTAGTCAATGCACTAAGGCTGCAAACCTGGAAGTAAGCATTATTGAACTTAATAGGATTTACTTCTGAGTAGATGCATAAAAGCACGTACTGCCATACCACCAAATCTTCATCTGCTCCAGCCATCACTTTAGGCCAGATGTGGAGATCTTTGCCTCTCCAGATGTTGCTGAATTGTAACTCACATCATACCTGGCCATTGGTCCTGTTTGTTGGGCCTGATGGAAGTTTACCAGCAACATCTGGAGGGCCAAAGGTACCCCACGCCTGCTTTAGGCACTTAAACTGGAACAAATTTTAAAACATTTTCCCTGCGTACTTTGGGGTCAAAAGCATATTGGCATAATTAACACGCTTTTTTAAAAAAAGACACCATGGACTGGTCTTTAGTGCAAGCCAGTGGGAAAGAGTGCTAAGTATGGAGTTTCAAGGCTCCATACAGAAAGTATGAAAGGAGACAACAGAGTTGGGAAAGTGGATCCTCCGTGTTGAAACTACTATGATAAAGTATTGGTACATTTGCTCAAATCCTGATTTGTGGGTTTCCCACAAGCATCTGGTTGGCCTCTGTGAGAACACGTTGCTAGACTAGGTGGCCCATTGGCCTGATCCAGCAGCCTCTTATGTTCTTACTAAAATTCTTCTATCACATCTTCTATTAGGGGCCATCCAGAAGCACTTTTCCTAAACAGAAGCTATATAATAGTTACTGTGCCTACTTACTAGCTCCCCTTCTTTCCTTGCCTGAAGCTTCTGCGCCCATGCTCTGCTGCCCAGACCTGGCCCATTCATGAGGCAGGGTGAGGAGCCTGCCTTGGGTGGCAGAAGTACAAGAGGCAGCACCCATCTTGCCTCTTCTGCCTTCCCTGTGCAGGAAGTGTCAGCAAGATCTCGCCTCAATCTTATGAGATCTCACCTGCTTTGCAGGTGCCACCGCCACTGCCAAGCAAACAACACAGGTAAGAGAGACACAGTGCCATCAGCAGAGGGGTGGCAGCACATTCCTGTGCCAAAACAGGATGTGACACCCCCTGCTGCTTCCCATTTCAATAAGACACTGGTGGCCGCACACTGTTTACTGCCCAGCATAATAACAGAAAGTAGGTCTGTCCTCAATATCCAGCATTTGCTCAGCTCTATGAGAAAAAAGTTGGGTTCACACACTTTACCTTTGCCTTCCGCACTGTTTGGGATGGGACGGGAGACATCACTGCTGCCTTTTCAATGATAAAGTGGTCAAGGTACTGCAGATTCCTGCCTTAAGAGAGGCTGGGCATTGTGACCTCACAATGAGTCTCCCTCCCCAGCCAAGTTGACCACTGAGAGTTGTTGACTCAAAACGTTGCTTAGCAACTTGGTGAGTAGGGGCTGGAATCACTTTACTTCTACATGGAAGAAGTTGGCCCACCAGTGCCCCAGCTTTTCGGCTTTGCAAAGCTTGCCTAGCCTCCACTTTCCCAACATTATCCCCCCACTGAAGGGGCAATATTTTTTATTCCACTTCCCTAGAATCTGTTTTTTTAAAAGCTAGTTTTTAATCAAAAGCTTTATTTCCACGTTACCTGAGACCACAAGAGCTTGTTTTCTTCAGCTCTCCTTTGGATTGGGAGCTATGAATTCTTCTTTTACTAAATGCTACTCTATTCACATTAAATTCAAGAGAAGCTAAGGCAAAAGAGAGTTGCAGGAAACATGCTCAAGGTGCAAAATTGGATGTATTAAGCTCTGCTGAGAAACTTAAAGCTGCAATCCTGTGTGCATTTGGATACAAATGGGTCTCAATTCAATTACTCTGAATGATTTTAAACCAGTATGAGCTGGAAAAGGTTTCTAGGAGGGTTAAAATCAGGGGTTAGTAATATACATTAATTATTGCCTCAGTCACTAAGGTAACCTGTGACATCTTCCATGTTTCTTGGGGGTGTATGGGTTTAGGGGAGGGGCAGGATCTTGTCTCCCTTGGAGAGGGAGCTGAGGCGCCAATACTTTGGCCACCTCATGAGAAGACCCTGATGCTGGGAAGAATTGAGGGCACAAGAAGGATATGCCAGAGGACGAGATAGTTAGTGTGTGTTCTCAAAGCTACTAGCATGAGTTTGACCAAACTGTGGGAGGCAGTGGAAGACAGGAGTGCCTGGCGTGCTCTGGTCCATGGGGTCACAAAGAGTCAGACACAACTAAACAACAAAAGTATCTCTAGTGGGGGACACACCATGCTCCTTCTGAGGTAGTTTGTCCACCTTTATTCCTCATCCTGCACTTGGCTCTCACCTGCAGCTCTGAGAAGCTGTCAGCATGTGACAGCATCTACACCTTGGGAAAAAAGCTTCGACTGGCCAGCTAAACCAGGTGAGGATAGCCAATGGGTCTCCAACCCTCAGCAGCTTTCTCCTGATTGAAGTGGAGTGCTTGAGGACCGGGACATTCACAGGGAAACCAAAATGCTTTTTTACAAAGCTATTGTACAATACTACCAACCTTACTGTATGTTTGTGAAACATTGACTACTTTCTCCAACTCCTCGAAAGATTCCACCAATAGTGTCTCCAAAAAATTTCACACATCACCTGGGAAGGCAGGCGAACTAATGCCAGTGACTGGAAGAAGCAAAGATCACCCATGTCCTTATTTATTTTATAAATAATTTTATAAAGATGCAAGTGTGTGGGGGAGGTGTGAGGGAGTCCAAAGTAATGATGAAAAGATGCTAAATAATCAACATTGTTTTATTAAATATGTCTTTGTATTGAAAAACCTTAATAAATATATATTTTTTTAAAAAAAAAAGATCACCCATGTCCAAGCAATGATTCTTCAACATCAAATTTGTTAGACTGGTCATGCTGTGCGGATGCCCAGTTATCAACTTCCAAAGCAACTACTCTACTCCGAACTTAAAAATGGAAAGCATAATGCTGGTAGTCAACAAAACAGGTTTAAAAACTCTCAAGGCAAATATTTTAAAAATGTAGTATAAACACTGACAACTGGGAAACACTGGCCTGCGAGCGCTCCAATTGGAGTACAGCCTTTACCAAAGGTTTCATGGGCTTTGAAGATGCTCAAACTCAGGACGCAAGGGAGAAACGTTCTAAGAGGAAGGCGCACTTCACAAACCCTCACCATGATCAACTCCTACCCAGAAACCTGTCCCCACTGTGGAAGGACGTGTGGGTCCAGAATTGGCCTCCAGAGTCACTTATGGACTCACTGTTAAAACCATATTCATGGAAGACAATCTTACTCGGCTACAAGTGATCGCCAAAGAAGAAACCCTCAGTGAGTTAGGAGCTTCTCTTGCACACTAAGACAGGCTCCAACAGATTGAGTAGAGGAGACCAATAGTGGGTCCAATGATCAAGGAGGTGGTTACTCCACATGCAGAAGGAAATGATGGGCAAATGGGGCTCACCAACCTGGGAAGGTAGCTCATTCAGGAGAAGGAAAACTGATACTAAACCTCTGCTGCCTTGCAGCTATACTCATTCATGAGAAAGACTTCCCAAGTAAATCCTGAGGAAGAATCTGTACCTGCTGCATTGCAGGACATCTTTGGGTGAGGAAAAGGCTAAGGAGTAAACCCTACACAAATCTGGAGTGGAGTCCCTAAAAAGATTGGATGGGGCCTTGCATGCCTCCTTCAGGCAACTCCTGCAGCCATGCTGGTGCCAAATGCATTGCTCTGCTTTCCTTTGGACCAAATCGGTGAAGTCAAGGGGTGTGTCTTACGGTCTGGGCATCCCAGGACCTCCATACACAGCAGCAAAAACATGTGAGCAGCAGTTACAAGCTACTGGTCTCTGTAGCCACAGCAGGAGCTGCGATTCTCCAGGAGTTTGACTTCATCCCCAGCAGCACACCCCACTGTCCCTTGAGATAAGACAGTGGCCAACAATTAGTAACTACTTGGTTTCTTTGTGTCAGTTATGGTGCTTTTCCTTTTATAGCCTGCTCCGTTTCATTTATATATTTTAATTTTGTTCTTAGCTATCGCTGAGTCTGCATACTTCCCTCATTTCTTTAGTGATTGTAATTAAGCTTTCCAATTTATTTTACTCCTGGTCTGTTCCTAGTTCTTTCTGGTTAGCATTAGCTCAATGGAGTAAGCTTCATAGACCTAAAAGCTACAGCCTATTTCTCAGAGTGTAGATGAAATTGTTGGCCCTAATGATGGGAGTGTGCTAGTATTAATATTGCATTAAATTTGTGCACACAAGGGGGAGGGGGTAATAAGTTAACTGATCCTCATAATTTCATGCATAAAAGTGGTTTATCTGGAGTAAGTTCAAGTCTTTCTAAACATTTCCTGTATACGCACATCTTAACCCACCAATCTTTTATGAGGCAGTTTCTCAAGGTTTACTAAGTGATAAACTTTGACTCAGAAGAGGATCACTTAATAACCAGAACAGCCCTTGTTGCAGTTAACAAATAAATAGCAGTATCTCTTATACCTAATGAAGACATTGTTTTCAAAGTTGCTTATTTAAAGTACCACTTAATTCTCAGCAATATTTCACTCTTTTATTCTTTCCCATCTACATTCCAAGATATTATTTATTTATGGTTGATACAAGTATTTCAGATTACTTCAGTTATTAAAATATGCATCAATGATGCACCACTACCACCACTTCTTCCAGTGATTAGAACAGTTAATTGATGCTGCAATCTCTTTGTTTCCAGTAATAGGGTTTGAAGACGACCTAGTAGACATGCCTTTCAGCCAGGCTGTATGTTGAAGACAGCATTTCATACCCTAAAAATCTAAAGTGGTGGTGTTGTTTTTTTAAAAAAGAGAAGTTTGTAGTCCATATTGCTGTAAAAATAATATGGGAGAGGTGCAGGCAATGCCAGATAAAATCTCAGAAGCCTAAAGGGAGCTGACAAGGGTTTCAAAGGATCAGTACTCTGTTTCTTGTCCTTCCCCATCAACTGAGAAATTATGCAATATAAGCAACTCTGTGCTGTTTGCTTCATCTGCATAATGTATAGTCACGGAATTGAAATTCAGAGCACATTATTAAAAAACTTTTCTTATTTGATTTTTACCTTGCCTTTCCTCCAACTCAGGGCAGCACAGATATTCCCATTTTTAAAAAATCCTCACAACCATACAGTGAGGAGAAATGACTGGCCCAAGAGATTGTAACAACCTACATAGATGATTGGCAACTTGATCCTCGGTCTTTGTAGTTTAGTGGCAATTTGAACCTAGTCTGAAACTTTGAACATTGCATTATGTTGGTCAAGAAAGGAATACACACTGGCCTATCTATAAGACATTGTTTGTAAAAGAAGCCTGTGTCAGCCTTTCATCATTTTGGGGTTCAAGGTCACTCTGTCCCCATAGGCTCTTCCTGCACTCCCATTTTATGCTTGAGCACAGGATGCAGATAGGAAAAGCTGTGCCACGGGATGGCATTTCAGGAACTGAAATTGCAATTCCCTGGGAACAGATTGCCAACATCCAGGCACAAAGCCAAGATTCCCTACACCTGGCATTTACTAGGTAGGCAAACAGGGCACAAGAGGTTTTTGCTTGCGGGTTCTGAATGCACTCAGCCCACCTGGTATGTCATTCCTACCCTCCACCCTGGGGAAGGAGGGGGAGAAAAACACCTCTGGGTGTGAATGATTCCACAGAACACTTCCTTAACGCTTGCTATTACAGGAGAATGCATTTATCAAAGTTTTTGGGAGGAGGACTGCTTGGGGGAGTAAATGAATAAGACGTTGGTTTTCCTAGCATAGAGGCACGAGGACTGCCCTGCTTCTGCTCAGCTTCTTTGGAAACCGTGGGCAGATTTTGGCTAGGAGAACCGTAATCCATGCTGGCATGAAGAGCATAGGAGGGCTGCAGGGATGGGGTGCTGGTTTCTCGAGGGGAAGGTGGCGATTTCGCCGATTGTGGGCTTGCAGTGGTCACGGAGTTCACACTAGCATGCTGGTGCTGTCGCATGAGGGCCTGAGGCTTAGATGCATCCAAATTTCTGTTCGTTCCAGGTGAAGTATATGATGAGGGCTGCCAGGATAGGGTGGTCATAGTTTCCAGAGGGGAAGGGGATGGGTGTGCTGATCTTGTGCTTGAGGTCACACTAACATACCGTTGCTGGCTGATGAGGGCCCAAGACTCGGAGCACAGAGCATCAGAATTACCGTTGATCCAAGAAGAGGTGCCCGGCGGCTGCAGAGGTGGCGTGGTGGTGGTTTCTAGAGGGGAAGGTGGTGAGCTTGCAGGTCCTGTGCTTGAGGAGCTTACGGCATAGTTCTTGCTAACAATTTTTTGCTGATGCACCAAGGGCCAAGAGTCAGAAGGCAGAGAGTCAGAATTACTGCTGGGACTAACAGCAGCATAAGATCCAGAGGACCGCTGGGTTGCGTTGGTAGAAGCAGACTGCGAACTGAGCGGCTGCATGCTTGAGGTTACAGGAGAGTCCACACCATCATACTTCCCCCAATGTGTGGATGTTGGAGACTTAGAAGGTGCTTTGTCTGAGGGCGCAGCCACAAGATTTTGATCTGCCACAGGGACAGAACTGTGCTGCAGACCATCTAGCCATGTATGGTGGTGGCATTCTGATTGGTAGACAGTCCGAGATTTGGGTGAGTGGAGGCTAGCTGTGTTTTGAGAAGGTAAGGAAGTAGGAAACGTCCCTTCGGGAGTCAAACTATGGGGGACTCCTGCGGTTCTGGGTGGTACCTGCTCCTGAAAAATGGAGTCTTGTCCCGAAACTGCAGAAGAATAGGACCTCTGCTGCTGAATTTGGGTGGGAGGCTGAGTCTGGCTGGCTGGAGGCACAGCTTGGACAGGCAGCATCTGTGGTGGAGTCTTCTGAAACTGTATCCCAGAGGGTTTTACAGAAACTGGTATGAATGGTGCTGGGTAGAGAGGAGGCATCTCTGGAATAAATGTGACAGGCGGGTATACAACTGGCTGAGCCCATGCTCCAGAACCTGTAGAGACAGGCTGAAAGATGGAGGGGGGTGGTGTAGTATTGTTAAAAAACCAATGGTTAACCAGATGTGCAGGCCTGGAGCCAATGCTGTCAGATTTCAAATTCTCATCCCTTCTGGTGGCTTGGGAATCCACTGGGTAAACTACAGGAGAGTTGGGAGTGTCTATCAGCTTGAGTGTCATCTCTCCCACAGGAGCTACTGGTTTGGGAGTCCCAGGTAAAGTACTAAGTTCCTTGTTGGCTGGTGGTCCAAGACATTCAGAAGGCTGGAGGAGAGAGAGATGGGGCTGAGGCTTGCGAAGTGCAGTATTTAGAGAGAACTTGGGAACAACCAAAGGCTTGTTTTTAGGTGGGGAGTGCTCAGGAGTCACTGCAGAGTCTTGCACTTTGGACAAATCAGGATGGCCTGAAAGGTCTCTCAAATTGGCTGTGGCCCTCTCATGCTCTTGCAAAGGAGATACTGTTTTTGGTATCTCCTTGAGATGGCCCTTGGGTAGAATGCAGGACTCCTTATCACCTTGCTTTTCGAGGGGGTCTGAAGCCCGGAGAAAGTGGAGTGGGGCTGTGGTACCCCTGGAGCCTTGGGAAGAGGGGCAGGCTTGGGACTTACTACAGGTTCAGCTGCTGCCATCGTTTGGGGCAGCGACTGACAAGGAGCCACTGCAGCATTTTCCACTTCAGATGGGACAGGCTGATCTGAAACAACAACAATATTTACTGTTAAGAGAGAAGGGTCACAACTGCAGTTAGAAACAGGAGGGGGGGAAACAGAAAGATCAAGTGGTTCTTTCTTGAAGCCTCATATGGAAAACCTGGAGTAAGCTAGATCTAGATGCCGTTAGCAGGGGAACTGTTTGTTCATTTTTAAACTAAATATTTCTTTCTCTTTGGTGATCACTCCTAGCCAAGCAAGAGTGTCTTCCATGAATGTGGTTTTAACAGTGTATCAGTAAGTGACTGTGGAGGCCAATTCACTCACGGGATCATCACCTTGTCATGGTGAGTGGGCTTGCATGCTCCCATGATCCTTGTGAGCAATGCCATTGGGAGTCGCACTCCCAGTTGGGTCACCCAACATGGTCAAAGGGGAGAAGCTAGACAAAGAATGATCCAAGAAGTCTTCGGCGGCAGAACAGGCAGAAGATAACAAGCAGTATGTTACAATGGCTGTGAAGGCGGATGAAGGCTGCAGCAGATAATAAGAATCTGCCAGTCGTCATGATACTCATGCCATTGGAATAGAGCCTTACTGCGAAGATCAGCGGGAACTGATCTCCACACACCAAACAAGTTCACACACATAAGTCTTCCGAAAACCCATCCCAAACCCACCCCCCTTCCCTCCAAAAGTCTCATGGTGGTTGGCAAAAATTAGATCTATATTGCAAACAATATGGAAATCATAATAAAGAGAGCAAAAGACGCTGCAAATGAAAAGCACTTACTGGATTTGACAGGTGACGCTTTAGCAGACACAGGTAGTAGCAATGTTTGGACTCCACAGCCCTCCAGGCGAACAATATCAGGCATCTCCAGCAGGCACTGTTTGGCAGAGGAAGCATTGCCAAGCGGCAGGTGCTGCTGATAGGCAGTGCTGTAGGCAGCACGGAACTGGAAGAGCGACATGCCCTCGGGGTGCATGGCCAGGATGTGGGCCACCCGCTGTTTCAGTTCTTCCAGGTCCTTAGAAGGCTGTGAGTTCCTCAAGTTGGATTCTCTGGGCAGCTGGTTATCCCGTGAGTGTACCTCTTTGGCTAGTGGTGATGGCCCACCAGACTGCCATGCACTTGGCTGATGGAGAAGAATGCGGGAGGGAGGTGGCTGATGTGGAAGAATGCCAGAGGGAGGTGGGTGATGTGGAAGAATGCCGGAGGGAGGTGGCTGATGTGGAAGAATGCCGGAGGGAGCCTGGAAGGAACTGTTGGCCTTGCTTGACAAAGCACTACGAGGCTCCTGGGAGGGTGGAAAAAATGGGAAAGTGGCAGGTGGGACATGCATGCTGCTGTTGTTGAGCCAGTTCTGCACTCCTGGGGACACAAAAGCAGCTGGAACAGGTGGGCTCCAATTCTGTGATTTATTTCCAGAGGGATTGCAGACATTGAACGAAGGCTTAAAGATGCTACCAAAGTCTAAGAAAAAAGAGAAGGAGGCCATTACTGCTGGGTCAGTTGACAGACGATGTTTATTTGTTAAAAAATATTTGTAACTCATGTCTCTGCCGCAAGCCCCCAAGGTAGTACGACATATATCTATACGGTTTTAAAGACACCCTGCTGGTATCAGCAACACCACCAATCAGAACATAAGGCACAAGAGCAGACAACTGCTGTGACTTGGGATCAAAAAGTCAATAAAGAGAAAGGTGAACTTCTACAGCTTTGATGCCGCTCCAAAGAAGCTTGTTGGTACCAACGATGCTTCATAGGATGGGAGCACACAAAGAAGAGCCTTCGCAGGTAGGTTTACAAGGGAGTTGGCAGCCCTGAAGGGATTCAGTGCTTTCCAGATGTTGTGGATTACAATTCCCGTCAGATCCAGCCAGTTTTGCTGCTGGCCAGGGATGATGGGAGCTGTAGCTCAAAACTTATGCATGGCACCACATTGGGTACTCCTGAATTTGTGTTTTTATATTGTAACCCACCCTGTGATCCTTGGATGAAGGGCAGTATAATAATAATAATCCCCAGCATATTCAGGAAGCCTGGAAAAATACTCCTGCCTGAAATCCTGGAGAACTGATGGATCGGTAGACAATACTGAACGAGATGGTCCAAATGATCAGTCTTGGTAGAGGACAGCTTCCAATGTTTCTATGTAACCTTGCCAAAAGATCATTGACGTGAAGAAATTTGAACAAACCACTGAACTGTGGCCATCTTAGTCCTCCTGTGTTAACTATCTATTTCCTAGTTTTCCCCTTGGTCTTCTGTCATCTCTCTGTTATTTGCCTATGGAATCTCCATGTTTCAAGGTCAGCTAAGACTCTGAGAAGGACAGTTTGACCACAAAGGAATCCATGAGCAAAAACACTGTATTTGTTCCAGACAAATGGAGAGAACAAACAAGAATGGTTTGTTCTGGCAACCTTTTAATGAGTTACCAGCTACAACAGAATCCTGCCCTGTGCCTCGATTAATGCCAATATATTACAAAACCCTTTCAATACCCGAATGGCAGCTGCAACCATCCTTAAAATAATGTCCACTGTAAGTTTAAATGGCACAGAGACAGCTGCATAGAGACGGTGGTTTTACTCAAAGCTGACTCGCTGAAATTAATGGATGTAACTTACGTCGTGATCATTAATTTCCATGGCTCTACCCTGAATAAAACTTGCCTGAATACCACTCCAGGATAGTATCCCATTGATCTCCTTTCATTGACTGGATCCAATTATAAGTTATGTTGCATCCTGCCTAGATTTTCTTACTATGTGTGGTCAAATTAATGACCACATTAATGACCACCATAATAATGTGAATTATGGTGACCTTTGGTCGTTAAAGAACCATTCTTTAAGCATTATAGAATGATGCTAGTGCTATGTCTAAGGATGACTAAGACTTATTAAGAAGCGGCAACTTGTTTCATCTTTTGAAGACCTCATAACAGTCAACACATGCTCTAGCAAGCAAGATGGATTTCCAGATTACTTACCATCTACAGAAAATAAACCATCTCTGTAAACCATCTTAGGAAGTTAGCTCAATTTGTCTGTCAGTACAAACTGTGCTCTCTGTGACTTAAACTATTGTTCTCCTGCATCACCATCCCTGCATGGGTGAGAACAGAAAGGAGTCACCTTGGAGATTTACCTGGTGCACAGTTTGCTTGCTGGACCACTTTTGCTGGATGCAAGAGAGGCACAGGGGCAACAAGCAGAGGAGGGGCAGTCTTAACACCAGGACCTAAACAAGAAGAGAGGAAAAGAAATAGTCATATTAACCAGGAGGGATGTTTACATAGTCCAAGCAGTAATATTTCTCTTTCTCTAATGAAGCAGAGGCTGGATGGCCACAATATCAGGACTACTGTAGTTGATTTCCTGCACTGACAAGCAGTTGGTTTCCTTCCAACCCAAAAGATTCCATGACCAGTGAAGGGCTCAGCTCAGCAAAGTTGTGTGTCTAAAGTCAGGTACAGGCCACAACCGGTTTACGCCTATCCAATAAGTGTGCGACCGCACACACATGCATTGGACCAAATCCAGAAGTTACCCAAAAACATCCTAAAAAGAAAAAAAGTCCAGGTTTGAGGCGAAAAACAGAACAGATACTTAAGTGGTTGTTCCATGAACTAGCCATTACCAGGAGGCAAGCAAAAATTATGCTGAATCAGACAGTAGCATTGCAGACTTTTCTGACTTCGACTTACATTTTGCCATTTTCTTTTTTCGTTTTGCTTTTTCCTAAGTTGGAGAAAGGGAAGGGGGAGGAAGCCAGTGTTAATTCTGGAGCCTTCTTAACAACCTGAGGTTAGGCTTCCTCATGCCTGATTTCAGACAAACAACTGAGAGACCAACTGAGAGCTAACGATTATTGGTTCAATTTGAAGGAAGTTATTTCACCAGATGACCAAAGCTGACAAATTAAATCAACTCTATGAATAGATGAGCAAAAGTAAGTTGCTGGTGATGATAATGACTGAATCGGATATTGGAATAATATATCTGCTTATGGAATAATATATCATTTGGCAATTTGTTGGTTTTTTAAAAAATAAACCCCATGGCTGCAATGGTATATAATTCTTGTGACTTACATCTGAGTCACTTGAATTGCATTGTGAAGTCCCACTATATTCAGTAAGTCCCAGGAAAGAATGCAACTTTAGAGCAAAGGAGCATTGAGTCTCATCTCCTGTTTGGTTCTGGCTCAGGAAAGAATTCAGATTTGGTGGTTACGAGACCAGGAACCAAAATGCAATCTAGCTTTGCTGGCTATCCCAGACAACATGGGAGTAGAATGTTGCAGTCAATCTTTCCCCCTCCAAAATTCACCTGATCCAATCGAAACAACACATTTAAGTCTGTCCTCTCGGTATCTGATGTTTAAGTTAGGCATTTGACGCTCCAAAAACTCCAGTGTGTCCTTGTGGCCTTGGTCGATGCTGAACTTCTCCAGGTCAATTTTTTTCTTGGCCAGCAGGAGCTCCTGCACTTTCTCAACCCTCAGACCTTCGCTGTATGTGCCTATGAGGTTGGTGAGTAATGTCAAGACATCTGTCTGCGAAGCTAGAGGAGGGAAAAAGCATATTAGCATGAAGACTAGGGTGAGGTAGCAGCAGCAAGCAAAGATGGGGCAAAGGAAAAGCAACTGGGAAGAAATATATGGTGCTGCTCCTGCTCCAGCCAAGCTTGCTGTTTTGTTTCACTTTAGTCCTTAGGATTCCTGGCATATTGGTTGTATTTTATAAAATGTCACAAACTACTTTGAGAAATCTAATCCTGTTAAATAAACCTCAGAAAAAATCTGCGCACAAAATCAAATATTAACACGTTTTCTTAAAAATGTCAATACACTTTGGGAGTGTTACCGATCAGGAAGAGGCCAATATTCTTCTACAACTGAAGGACTAAGCCATCACCAGACCTGTGCCATTGATTTCAGGGAGAAGAAAAGGCTAAGGGGTAAACCCTACACAAATCTGGAGTCGCTAAGATGGTTGGATGGCATCTTTTATGCTTCATTCTGGCAACTCCTGCAACCAAGCTGGTGTCAAATGTTTTGCTCTGCTTTCCTATGGACCATATCAGCAAGGCCAAGGGGGTGGGGGTCTTGTTATCTGGGTACCCAGACTCCTACACACTGCCCAGGCTTGAGGTGCACTCCGGTGTCTCTCGAGACAGACGGATGCCAACAACTCCAAGAATAACTAAATCTCCAAGGATCTCTCACCATTTTCAACCTTACAGGAACCTTGTGAGGTCACAGTTACTGTAAGGCTGAGAAACTGACCAAAGTCACACAGTGAGTTTCATGACTGGGTGGGGAAATGAACCTGGGACTCCCCAATCCTACTCTGACATTCTGACTACAATGGTACCTCGGTTCTCGAACTTAATCCATTTTGGGAGTCTGTTCAACTCCTGAAACTGTTCAAAAACCAAAGTGCAGCTTCCAATTGGCTGCAGAAGCTTCCTGCACTCAACTGGAAGCCACGCCGGACGTTCGGTTTCCAAAAAATGTTCGCAAACTGGAAAACTTACTACCAGGTTTGCGGCATTGAGGAGCCAATTTGTTTGGCAACAAAGCTGTTTGGGAACCAAGGTTTGACCGTACTCTACTTCACCAGTAAATCAAGCCAGAACAGTGTGTACCACGGATTCTATGATTCTATAAAGCATGAGGAATCTTACAACTAAAAACGTAAAAGGTTTCCAGTCTTTATGGTTGCAAGAGTAAGCAGAAAGGGTCTATTTCTGAATAAACATACCTGGGACTGTACTCACAATTGTGATCCTGCACAAACACCAATATGCACAGAACACAGAAGCAAGTCCCACGACTGCAGAGAGATACTTCACCCAATGCCAAGGCATACAAATCAATGGTGGATGTGATACAAATACTCTAGCTGGCCTTTACACTCTCACTCCCTCTGTCAGGCCTCTGTGCTCCTTCTGCACCCGGACCCAGAGTTAAATGCAGTCTTACCAGGCTTTTTTTTTAGCACATTTTGGTTCACGGGTTTTGATTTCCCAGCAGGCCGTTGCACGTTTAAGGGGACAGAAGCACAGGACTGGGGCACAGTGGAAAGGCAGGGAGCTGGAAGAGAAAGGAAGATGGAAATCCTATTTTTCTGCTTTTTTCAAATTTCAAAAAAACCCTACACCATTTGATAGAAATATGCCAGTTTGGTCCTGTCTCCTTCTGCACCTGGACCCAGGGTGTTGGACCTGGGAGACCTGGGTTCAAATCCCTCTCAGCCACAATCTCTCAGCCTAACCTACCTCACAGGGTTGTTGTGATGATACAAGTGAGAAGGAAGAGAACCATGACACCTTAAGCTCCCTGGAGGAAAGGTGTGATATCAAGTTAGTAAGATATATAGTGGAATATAAAGTAAGTTAGTCACAGTTTGGCCAAAAAGAAAAAAAAGCAAAGAAACCCTTGGGATCAGAATAACGGCAATTTACAGAAAGTTATGAGCATGACTACAATATACTTCAGTACTTAAGCTCCAAAGAACTAGGGTTGCCATATCTTGAAGAGCAAAAAAGAGGACAGCCCAAGCCAGGGAAATAGGTGCGTACTCTTTCCCTCCTCAGGCTGGCAGCAGCTGTTGCATGCGGAGCAGCCCCTGCCCAAACCACACAAGCCCAAAAATAAAATAAAAATACCCCCATCAAAAAAACTATACATTTCTTTTGAAATGTAAAAATCCCCCCAGATAGGCATGTTGGTCCCCCAAAAGAGGACATGTCCAGGATTTCCCGGACGTATGGCAACCATACCACAAACTTTAAAATGTCTATGGTTTGAGGGGTTTTTAAAGGAACGTATTATTAGGCCTCACCATCACAGAGACATCTCACCTGGCTTTGTTTCCTTTAAGTCTTGAGACAGGGTGTCTGATCCTTTGGAAGATGGAGATTTATCCAAAGAGGGACCGGCACCGAATGTGACAGGGGGGAGGCCAAGACTACCGGAGAGAAGTTGAACCACACAGTTGTCGGGCCACTTGCCATTTGTGAAAGAGTAGCGAAGGCCCGGCACATCCAGAAGGCAAGACATTACGTCTTTATACCCCAAATCTTGGCTGAAAGTCTCTAGGTCAAACCCATGCTTCTTCTCTAGGTTTTCCTTCAGTGTCTTTATATTCAGACCAGCAGGATGGTTTCCAAGAACATCGAGGATTGGCACCAAGGCAGCAGCCAGGTCTGAAAAGGAACGATGTACTATTTCAACCTGGTGAAAGTCATGTCAATACTACTTATCTCCACATTGAAGAATTGGGGCTCAGGCTGCAAGAAACTTAGGCTGCAGGACACTTAGTTAACACATGGCCAGGGTGAGATTTGCTTAGGCTGCCAATTGTCATCCTACACTAGTTCTCTATAGCTACTACATAGCTGTACTCAGTATAGAGAATGGAGAATGCAGTCCCCCTTCTCACCAAGTGGACAGAAGTGGAAGACTCCTCCCAGTTGCCCCAACAGATATCGTATACAGACTAGCCTCTTAATCCTCACCTCTAGCAACTGGAAAAATAACAGCCCTCCTATTCTATGCTACCTGCTCTGCAGCATCAGTGCTTTTGAGGAGCTCTGGCTGATACTTGGGCTTTTCAGGGGCGGAGGTGGAATGGATGGGGCAACTTTTTCTCCCTAACTGAAGCTTAGTTAGGTAGCCTGGGTGGGAAAGGCACCGTAGACCCATCAGAGTGTGGAGCTCCCCACTGCTGAAAGTGCTTCATCTGTTGCCTCGGGTTTTCAAAAATGGTCCAGGGTCATGTGCTAAGAGTCGCATCTCTGAGAGGTAATTTGACTGAAAGCTGCAATGGGCTAGAAAAGGCAGAGCCCTAGAGACATACCTGAAATGAGAGACGTGTTACATCTCTAACATGGAGGTGTTTACCCCCAGGTGGGTATATCTGTTCTCCTCTGATAGAAAAAAACTCCCAAGTGCTTGACTATTGGTGCCAAGTCTTCCCCCAACAGGGTGGCCATTTTGAGACGCCATGTTTCAGGTTGCTGCAATTTCTGGAATTCCCTCTGTAAACTAGGAGTTCCATGAGGAGAAGCAAAGTACCTATCCACACTTAGAGTGCTTAAGATCTACATTAAATAGACATGGGATTGAAGTAGTGGAGATAAGATTAAGCATAGGTGGGGTGGTGGTTGGTGTTGAGTGGAGTCACAATTCAAAATGAAGAGGACAAGCCACCCCCCGTGTACCACATTCCAGATGCTACCTGCAGTACCAAAGAAACCTCAGGGTTCAAAACAAAAACTTACCAGATTTCTTTCCCATCAGCGTCTGGGGCACAGAATTTGAGTTGAAGGCAGAGAAACCAGCATCAAGCGAGGGAACAGGGCTAGGGGAACCTACCAGAGGAGAAAACAAAGGTATTGCTGAGGTGGGTCTTGAAGAAAAGAATAGGGACCCAACAGATTTAAACATGGCAGAAGGCCATGGGACAGAGTGAGGATGAAAGTGGTCACACGTAGGCCTACAGTTTAGCTCCCCTTGATAAACCATGAGCAATAAGCCACTGTACAAACCTTAACTGAACTGAGAGACTGAAAAGGAAGTCTCTGATCACATTTGGCAGAAAGGGCCACATCAACAACAACTCTTGTCATTGAAAAGGTGGGATACTCCTGTCAGGCCAGGATGCTGCAGCCTTGAATATTGTTCCCCAACCACCTCCCAGGGGTGAACTAGGCTACTTTGCAGGTCAGGCATTTTTCTGTTACATTTTCTTGAGACCGCCATATACTAATGCAATCTATGGCAGACTATCTAGCATCCCGCTTCTGGAAAATCTTCAAGCAAAGATTTGAAGTGTCTGTGTATGGGGGAGGGGGGGAGAGAGTCCTCCCTGCACAGGTCAGCTGCATGCCTCCCCCCCCCATTCAAACCCAGCCCTTTCAAACTAACTGCTTTTGAAGGGCACCAGAGTCTATATTTGGCCTCATATGGGGCTTTAGTACCCATAGAGCAATTAATGAATCAAGTGTAGATACAGCTCTGCATCCAGAATTCCTAGGCAGCCTTACCGGAGTTATTTCTCATTAGCCCATCAGTTGTGGTATGTGAGCTGCATACAGAAAAATCCGAGTCCAAGGAAGGAGCTGAGCTAGAGGGACCTGGGACGTGATATAAAAAGACAGGTTATGAAACATACCTTCTTTGTTCAGAGTAACATGACATAAGCCAATCACGTGCCACGGCCTGCACACTTTCTGCAGCCTTTACAAGTAGTTCTTTGCTTATCAAGAGAGAAATCCAGCTTGCACATCACCAGTGAGCCCAGGTTAAAAGATGGGAATTGCAGAAAGAAAAAGAAGGCACATGAGACAGCCAAAATACCAGGCAGACTGGAGAGCCTCATGTGACAAAACCTACCTCATTGCTGTTACTTCTGAAGACTATCTTACCGAGCCCAGCCTTGCCCTCGTACTCTCCCTGAAGCCAATTCATACACCCTTACCCAGGCCAACAATGAGGCTGGCACTCTTAAAACAGTCACAGAATTGGGGTGTGTGTTGAACTCACAAGTGATAACATTTCAATCTTTGCCTTACGCGATTCGAGCTGGATGACGCAATTCCGGGTCCTATTGCTGTTTCTGAGAATCAGACCAGGAATATCCTGCAGGCAGGACACCGTGTCATTGTAGCCCAGGTCACGGCGGAACATCTCCAGGTCAAATCCACAATTCTCTAGCAGGGCCTTTTTCAGGTTCTTCACCTTCAGACCCTTAGGATGGCATTCAAGGACGGCCCGGATTGGCACCAAGGCAGCTGACAGATCTGAAATGAAAGCAGTGGATTCACTTCTCATGTCTATTGTACCCTGCACTATGACAGCACTCTCAGGATTCTGCAGGTGTGGTAAGCAGAAAGGCTTGGCTAGAAAGAAACCTATAATGGATACCCCATGAACAACAATGAGTTCAGGAACTTGCTTTTAGCAAGGAGTTTGACGGAACTACTGCAGAATCAGAGATTGAAGCCATGGCCTAGGAACCACAGGACATACGATCCAGTCTCCTGCCAAGTGTAAGTCATTTGTCGCTTACACACACAGCAACATTACTCAAAGCAGCTCACTGTTTTACCTGGTGTCTGGCTTGCTGGTTCTTCCACAAGGTTTTCGGTACTGACAGAAGAAAAAGTAGCACAGGGATCTATAGGAGAAAAATCAAATCAGTCAGGAATCAGTTTCAGAATCAGTTTCTCAGCATGTGCGTAATAACTGGAAATGGGGAAGCAAATTTTGAGCCACAGGAATTTGTTCTCAGTGGAGAAAAGATTACTCAATATAACGCTCAGAGAACTCTTTTAATCATGCTGAACGGTCAAGGCCTAGTATTCAGCATCTCAGTTCTAAGACTCCTTAGTTCTACTTTTGAGTTTCCTTCACATTTCACTCTGTTAGTCTGGCCTCTTCCCTCTCCACCCCTCTTTGTCTCTTGTCCTTAACAAAAATTTAACCTGTGAACTCTCTGGGACAGGGAGCTGTAATTACTGCTTAAGAAACTCTGTAAAGTGTACTTTGACTCGTCTACAAATAACAGCAACAAGTCTTCATAATATGGCTTCACTCCACTTAATAAATCTTAGGAGTGGGGATGAATTCTGTATCAATAAGTGCTGTAATCTTGGACAATAACAACATGGATGGGGAAATCCAACACAGCAACAGCTGGAACCACCCCCTCAGATTTTAAATTGTTTGTCTGTGTTGTGGTTAACACACAGCTCTCAAGGAAGCAGGATGATGATAGTTAAAGGAAAGGGTAATACAAATTCAAGTCGACAACTATTAACTATGAAAACTAAACTGAACCTAAAGGTTTAGAAGTGCTATACCTCTAAATACCAGTTGTGGGTGAGGGAGGGGAACTGTCAACATCTGAAAAGGGCTACTGCCTTCATAACCTGTTCATGGGCTTCCTAAAAACACCTGGTAGGCCAAGATGTGAAACAGGACATTATACTAAATTGAGGGTAGAAAAATCCAGGTGTCGCTGGACTACAATTCTCATTATTTTATGGCCATTAGTCCTGCTGGCTGGGTAGCTGAGAGCTGGAAGTCCAACCATATCTAGAGGGCCACAGCTTCCTTAACCCGGCTTACTGAGCTTATGCTGGATCCAGTGTTAGAAAGTGGGATAGGAAAGCTAGGAGCCAAATGGCTTCTGGGGCCTGGATTGTGGGCAACCAAAACAGAATGTCTAGTCACAACGGGGAGGGGGAGCGGGTCGGCAACACTTTTTATTTATTAATTTGATATGCATGAATTAATACGCAATTCACGTGATACATTGTTAATATCATATTTTTAGCATAAATGGTTAATACTGTACATGTTTAATTTGCTGTTTACAATATTGGTACCATACTTTAGTTTTCAAAACGCTCTACTCTTTATTGTTAACATATTGTCTCTTTAAACATATACTTCCAAGGCTTTAAAACACATACATTTTAATAATCCTTGAGTGTCAGCCAGGCACAAAAAATGTTACCCAGACTTTTGGATCTATTTGCAAACGGAGAATCTTTAGGCGCAAAATGTGCCTGGTGCTCTGCTAATGTCGAACCTGGCTGGATCTTACATGAAGTGGGCAGTCAAAACTTTCAACTGCGACCCCCCCCTCAAGTTGCTTTTTTAATGTAATTATGATCGAGAAGATTAGAAGCAACCCCATCTCTCCCCACCAAAAAAAAATTCAAATTCAGCTTCTTGCCTTGTACCTTCAAAAAGCTGAACCACGCAGTTGAGTCTGTTCTGTTGGTATGTGATGTTTAAATTTGGCATTCGCTGTTCCAAAAATTCCAGTGTGTCTGTGTAGCCGCGACGAACGCTGAGCTTCTCTAGGTCAATTCCATCACTAGCAAGAAACAATTTCTGTAGTTTCTTAATCCTCAAACCCGAGTGATATCTCTTTAGAAGACTGAAGAGCAACCCCAAGACTCCTGCCAGAGCTGCCAAACAATGCAGATTGCAAATCAAAATTCCTTCAGACAGTGATATGATGCAGAGCAATCCAGATCTCAACTCAGTTATTTTTAGAAAGACAGCTTTAAGAACCCAGAATGCTCAACCTTAAAATGAGCTAAGCACTATAACCATTACCCCCTCTGGCTCCAGTCTATTCCATGTGCCCCCCTCCCCTTCACTTACCTATCTGCTGCTGCTACACCCTTCCACACCCATTCACATATAATCCCCCAAACTCCATTACCTCACGAAAGTGGTAACTGTTGCCACTGGCAAAAAGGCTAGACAGAAAGCTTCTCCCCAGCCCCCTCTTCCCCCTCTATGCCACCTCCCTGATGCTTGGAACGCTGCTATGACAGTACCTGGGCTCAGGACCCCTATCCTGAAAGCTAAGAACAGATTGCCCACATCCGTATATGAGTCTCAGCATTAAGGCTCCTCAGAACCACCTTGAAAGCCTCCTGGACATTGCCAATTCTCATCCAGCAACGTTGTACTGTATTTGGTTGTCTGAATCTATCTTTCATGGAAGATTTTGCAGGACAGCCCAAGTTTGGATGATACTGAGCTTCCCATGTTCCTCTATGGATGAGTTTTAGTGCAGATCTGAGTCCTAGGGCCAACCAGAATTGTATTTACTTATTAACTCAGAAAGACAGCTAATATTTGTATTGGAGAATTAAATTTGGCTGCCAGTCTCCAACAACATAGACTTGGATTTTTCTGTTTTGTTTGGAGCTGGTTTTAATGTGCATGCTATTTATTGCCGTAAGCCGCTTTGAGTTACTTTTGTGTTGTTAAAGAAGTGACTAATAAGCTTAATAAATAATGGTTTTAATATGTAAGGTATACATTCACCCGTTTCTCCTCCAGGGTCTTCTTCATCTGTTGACCTCAAAGCGGGCCCTTCAGAGATGTCCACCCCATTCTCTCTTCCTTCAGCCCAGTGGCCAAGATGGAATCCATTCGCTAGCTTTACGACTGGGACCTGTGAGTCACCATCTTCCACAACCACAAAGTCCTTCATTTCAGCCAGAAGCTGCTTGAGCGAGCTGTACCCATGACGAGTAATTTGAAGCTGGTAGCCATGCAGCCGGTGAAAGGCCCCGGCGAAGTCCTCAAAACTGAGCCCCAGGGGGTTCCTGAGCAGTAGGTGCAGCACATTGCGCTTCAGGGCATTGGGGTCCCCCTCTTCCAAGGCCATGAGCCCTGAAGTCTGGTGGAAACATCAAAGAAAAAATAGTACCAGGTGATTCACTTCCCCGGAGATCCTCCCTGCCTTACATCATTTGTTTTCTGTGGCTCTGAAAGAGTTACGACACCATCAGTGCGCTTCCTCTGCATGGTGGAAAAACTCACGAGACACTGCAGCTTGGGCATTTCCGGAAGAGCTTTAGGCCAGACTGGCTTTTGGTGGCATTATTTTGATATAAGAGAGGTTCGCACACACTTTGTAGTAAAATGGGGGGGAGAGACCTGGGCTATCCCTGCCCCCCACAATAAACACCACAGCCATTCTTCCTGCCTGCAGTGCATGTTCAGACAGCATGGAAAAAGATTACAGTTCCTCCATTACCTGAGGAATAGCTCAGTTGGTAGAGCATGAGACTTTTAATCTCAGGGTTGTGGGTTCAAGCCCAACATTGGGTGAAAGATTCCTCCATTTCCGGGGGCTGGACTCTAGATGATCATCATGGTCCTTTCCAACTCTGTGTGGGGAGGGACTCCAGTTGCACGTTGGAGCTCTTTTCACATGCAACAGCCCTACTGGCTGTTATTTACTCTGAGCTTCAATGGGGCTTACCCTCAGGCAAGTATACAGTACTGCAGCCTTAAATCGCAGCCCTAACCCTGCCTAAATCCCATTTAATTAAATAAGGCCTTCCTCCAAGTGAGGTTAGCATTGCAGCTTTAGCCTAGATCCAGCCAACTTTGGTTACTGAATGGAGTAGGAATAACACCGTTTACTTTGTTGCTTAGGGCAGGAGGGATCTCTCAGCGGTGTAAGCAGCTTCTGTCAGAATCTGGGGCTAAACTCCGGCACAGATTAACCACCCAGCCTACCCTTCGTTTACTCAAGATAAGCCTCTCCCAAGTCGGTCGTGGTAACTTCTTAGTAAACACTGTGAACAGTCCTATGCGATGTTTCTTGGGGATGAGACTGAATTCGTGTACCCATCGAACCGACGGGGATTCGATTCTGAGTAGGCACTACCACAGATCGCTTCGGATTTCATCTTTAAATTTTTAGTTTTAATTACACGGTAAGGGGAAGAGCCGAGCACCGCTAATGCGCTGATCGCAACCCTGCAGCAAACTGCTGATTCAGAGGGGGCGTGGAGCGGGGCTGCGGGGGAGGAGGACAAAAGCCCACGTGAGTTAAAATGCAACAACAGCCCTCTCCCACCCGCCAGGAACAGGACATTTATTCAGAGTGTAAGTCCTCACCTAGATCGCGCTCTTCCTCCTGCAGCTGAATTGGGGAAATGAGGCAGAAACAGGAAGCGTTCAGCAACTCTGCAGGAAACAATAAGAGCAGGCTGCTTTAGTTTCTATTTCTCTTCGTCACATGATCGCGCCTCTTGCCGCATGAGATTTGAGTCACAGCATCCTCCCTAGTTTGGGAGGGTAGGAAAGATGCCTTGGGAGACCGGCGTCTCCCTTTTCTATCAGCCAGGTTCTCGTTTCGTTTCTATAGTACAGTAGAAGCCTAGACATTGTCTACTCAGAAGTCAAAACCACTGGGCTTTACTCCCAGGTAAAGTAAGTTTCAGCCCCAGTTGCTTTGGGGGAGGGGAGAAAGGAAATGTGGGGGGGATGCAAGTGATTTGAGCACATGCTGTGATGTGGGAACTGAATGCCTGCGGATGTGGGTTGAACTTTCAGCTCGCATGACAACCTTATTGTAGCTCGAGGTGAGGACTTAAAAGGAGAGGGTTAAGCATGCAAACGCCATCAAACATCCCCTCGCACATGGACTGCTCTTCAGATCTTGAGCCTCCCTTTGGCTGCACATTCATTTGAAAAGCATATGACTTCCTCCAACGGATTCTGGGAACTGTAGTTTACCCCTCACAGAGCTACAATTCCCGGGATTCTCTGGGGAAAGTCGTCTGCTTTAAATGTGTGGTGGGTAGGCTTTGCATGTTCAGCAGAACGTGCGTAGAAACCCCCTCCCTCCCTTTGTCTAAACATGCAACAGTTTAAAGATACGCAAGGATGTTGGAAGCAGTGGCGTAGCGTGGGTTGTCAGCATCCGGGGCAAGGCAAGTAATTTGCGCCCCCTAACCCGTGGATTTGCGCCCCCTAACCTGTGGATTGCCCTAACCCCAGATGTTGCGCCCAGTGCGGCCGGGCCCCCCTGCACCCCCACGCTACGCCACTGGTTGGAAGTTGTATTTGCATGCACAACCCCCCTCCCATCTTCCTTTAAGTCGGGGTTTCCCAAACTCGGGTCTCCTGCTGATTTTTTGGACTACAGTTCCCATCATTCCTGACCACTGGTCCTGCTAGTTAGGGATGGTGGGAGTTGTAGTCCCCCCCCCCCAAAAAAAGAAAACCAACAACGCACCACTGGAGACCTAAGTTTGGGAAAACACTGCTGTAGACCAGGCTTCCTCATCCTCAGCCCGCCAGGTGTTTTTTGGCCTACAACTCCCATGATCCCTAGCAGGGCCAGTAGTCAGGGATGATGGGAACTGTAGTCTCAAAACATCTGGAGGGTCGAGTTTGAGGAAGCCTGCTGTAGACAAAAGTATCTGGCAGTTGTTTCATAATTCCCAAGTTTCCCCACCACCGCTTCTTTTTGTATCCAAGCCCCACAAATTCTAAGCCTAGCTCTGGCTTCAGATTCAGGATGCTCACCTCTTTAAAATGACTGATCTTTAGGGCTCCTCCATGACAAGTATTTCATAGTGCAAGAAATAGCAGTTCTATTTCCACCACGCCAGGGCACACAGAGGACAGCAGTTCCATATCTGCTCAGACCAGAGGTGCCACAAAGGCAACTGACTTGTTGGAATTTGCCCTGCATTTCAGAATTTCATCTGGTTGGTGAATGGCATAGGGAGTTACGCTGAACTTTGGGTTATGGTTTCCATTCTTCAGATCCCGATAATGAAACTTATCCAGATCAGTGATGATCAAGGAAAGGGAATTTGACTGACTGAGTGCTTCTTGGCTAATCTAACCTACTCACTCTACCCTTCCCTTTAAGCTGGAGCAGGTAGACCAGGAGAATCAAAACTCCCAAGTCTCTTTGGGGTGCCACCATTTTATTTAGACCTGAGCTGAAAATTCTATAAAACACAATTTCCTGACAAATTTTTGAATTTCTTTTCTGAGATCTTCAAAAACTCACAAATAATTTCAAATAATGTTTAGCAAAACAGCATCACCAATATCACCAGTTATGTGAATTTTGGATGCAATTTTGGATCCAGTTTTAATACCGGTCCTGAAAGACCTACATTGGCTCCCAGTACATTTCTGAGCACAAGTCAAAGCATTGGTGCTGATCTTTAAAGCCCTAAACAGCCTCGGCCCAGTATACCTGAAGGAGCGTCTCCACCCCTGTTGTTCAGCCCGCACACTGAGGTCCAGCTCCGAGGGCCTTCTGGTGGTTCCCTCACTGTGAGATGTGAGGTTACAAGGAACCAGGCAGAGGGCCTTCTTGGTGGTGGCGCCTGCCCTGTGGAATGCCCCCCCCATCAGATGTCAAGGAAATAAACAACTATCTGACTTTTAGAAGACATCTGAAGGCAGCCCTGTTCAGGGAAGTTTTTAATGTGTGATGTTTTATTCTGTTTTTAATCTGTTGGCAGCCGCCCAGAGTAGCTGGGGATACCCAGCCACATGGACGGGGTATAAATAAATGATGATGATGATGATGATTACTGTTTAATTATAAAATTAATATTTTTGAAGGAAGTAATGGACTTTACTCCTACTTCTTCCAGTCTTCCTCTCTTAGCCAGTTGGTTCCAAAAGTCTGTTTAAAAACACCATCTATAATATTTGGCAAAATACACTCCCAATTTGCTGTGCACAGAAAGTGTAGAGAATTTTAGGAGGCCCTTTAAAATCAGGGTGGAATTAATTGTTTCTGCTTCTGTGGCTTGTAAGAGCAGCCAACTGAAACACATTCTCTTAGCAAGTAACTTTTTATTTGGCATGGAGGTAAGTGATGAGAAAAGCTTCACCATCCAATTTCCTTGATATGAGATGGCTGCTAGGAGTGCAAAAGCAACCCCACCCCTGGTAGCCCAAATTTATTTCTTAAGAAAATTGTGGATTGGGAAGAAATTGCTACTGTGAATAAATGAGACTGAAATAACTGCTTTTTCGTGAGTTGGCCACTGGCTGGCAGCAGAGAGAGTTATATGGAAATAAAACCTGATTTTGCATAGAGGGGTTTTATAGTGTATGACCACATCTGTTGAAACTGATTTTAAAATGTTTAGCAATAGTTACTCCTAAGGTATGAGGGCCTTCTGAAATAGAAAATCAGAAACAAGGTTATATAAATAAAGAGTCTTGGGGTACCATAAAGACTAACAATTTTATTTAGCCTCCCTCGGCTAGTGTTTATTTATTTTATTGATTTATTTATAGAAATATTTATATACCACTGTGTCCTAAAAATAATGACAATGAAACACCAAAAGTGCACACTGAAAATCTCAGTTTAAGTTTAAGTGTATGTGAAATAAGCACAGTGACTATTTATAACACAACCATCCTGGCATTGCTAAGTTAATGAACAACAGTTGGGCATATAAATTTAATTGTTCTTGAATTTATAAAGATCAAAAGCAGCACACACCAAACTCTGCATGTCCAAGAGGACTTCAATAGGATTGCCAACTTTTCATTCGGCTTCTTCTATAAAAGGTAAAGGTACCCCTGCCCATACGGGCCAGTCTTGACAGACTCTAGGGTTGTGCGCCCATCTCACTCAAGAGGCCGGGGGCCAGCGCTGTCCAGAGACACTTCCGGGTCACGTGGCCAGCGTGACATCGCTGCTCTGGCGAGCCAGAGCCGCACACGGAAACGCCGTTTACCTTCCCGCCAGTAAGCGGTCCCTATTTATCTACTTGCACCCGGGGGTGCTTTTGAACTGCTAGGTTGGCAGGCGCTGGGACCGAGCGACGGGAGCGCACCCCGCCACGGGGATTCGAACCGCCGACCTTTCGATCAGCAAGCCCTAAGCGCTGAGGCTTTTACCCACAGCGCCACCCGCGTCCCTTCTTCTATAGCCTTCCCTTAATAGCAACTTGATATGGAGGAATAATGACCGTAATCACCTGCCAATTGATGCAACTCAAACCACTGTTAGAAGACAGCTGAAAATTTTATAACCCTCTGTTTTGACATAGTGGTAAACCTGTGGTCCTCCAGATTGCAGTTGGAAGGGACCCCAAGGGTTATCTAGCCCAACCTCCTTCAGTGCAGGAATCATGCTCACAGCCATCCCTGGGTGGGCTCGAACCACCAACCTTCTGGTTAACAGCCAGATGCACTGACCCATGGCACCACAGATGTTGCTGGACTCCAGCTCCCATCCGACCCATCCACCATGGCCAATGGTCAGAGATAAGAGGGGTTGTAAGCAGCACCTGGAGGACTATAGGCTCCTTGCCTCAGTCCAATTGTTTCTTAAACAGCTAGTTTCCATTTGGGTGTAAGCAAGCACCTTTTATGCATTCCCTTATAAGACACAGCATTATATCTGGTTATTCAGCGCATAACATCCAGTGCCCACCATCTGTCACCGTGCAATACAACTAACCAATTCTGAAGGAGAGAGTTATGTCTAAAAGCAGGTGTGAAGTAAGGGTCATAAATTCCAGCGGGCATACAAAAAGCCAATAGGCATGCCTGATGTAGCTCTCTGGCTCCTGGACATATGCATTTGTGTGTAGAAGTATATATAAGCATGCAAGGGCTGTTATATTTCATCTGTAAGCCACAGTATCCAGACATTGGCTGAATTGCTGTGATGTCATAGAATGTTTATCTTTTACTGCTGGGGGGAAGAGAGCCGATCACAGAATATTTGACCAAAAGTGCAACTGCCGTGCAAGGAAGCAAGTGACAGGGGAGGTGGGGGTGAGGCTTATAGGAACACAGGGACTGCAGGAGCTGCTGTTGTGGGGAAGCTTGACAAGAGGATAAAGTGGGCATCATATTGAGAAAGGGAAAGAATAAGGAAGCCTTCCTAAGGGCAGGAGGAGCTGCGTCTTCTGGCCAAAAAAGGAGGTGGAATGGCTGAAGAAGGGCCATGGATAGGTAGGCTTGCCAATTCTTCAACTGGCCTCTATATAGCTATATTGTTATGGTTAATAAGCTATATTGTAGCTTATTTATTATGGTAGCTATATTGTTATGGTTAATAAGCAGGTGTTAGCAGGTTAAACTTCACAGCCTAGAACTGAATATTATGCACTCTTCGAGTGTATAGAGGAGTAGCTTGTCTGCTAGCTAGGAGTCAAGGCTCTCCCTCCCGTTAGAATTACCTTCTTTTTAATGAATTGAGTGACAAGAGAGTGCATAGCGCAGACTGGGTATGCCTGAGCAGGGCAAAAGCAGA